CCGACCTTGCAAGTAAATCCGCCCTCTTGTTTTTCTTGTGTTGCCGGTAGATGAGTTCGAATTACGGGAATAATTTCCGAAGGTCCGCCAAATCACGCAATTCTGGATGATAACCAGGCCAGTCGTGCGGTGTTGTCACCATTTTCACTAACTCTGTTGAGTCAATATTTTGCAATTTTATTCTCTCAAATTCAAGCCTATATCAGTCACCATCCATAAATAAAAGAACTGAAGAAAAATACATGAACATAATCATAAATTAGATTTGTGAGAGAATAATGGGAAATACAAGTAAAAGACTGACCAACAAACCAAACAAACTTGAACGTAGTGTTGGCCGATACAATCGGCACCTATGCAGTTGTAAACTTGAGCTGGCTATGTTGCTTTGTCTAGCGTTTCATCTCTTTTGCAATTGCCAAGACCTCTCTAGAGGATAGTTGTGACCTCTCAAACACCCATTTTTATGTAGTTAGAGATTGCAAGAAGGTCTGTTATAAAGTTTTGAGCAGAAATAATATTTTATAATTATATGAAATCGAATCGATATAATAGAAGAAAATGAACAAAACTGAAAGTGCATACTCGGGCTAGATCTATGCGTTCCCATTTGTATGATCATAAAGTAAAGAACACATCGAAATTCAGATTCCCTACATCCCGAGACCTAGTCCAGAACAAATCCACTGGTATCCGACACTACAATGCCTACCATTATTTTCTAGATGATTCACTAACTATCAAGCCCGCATCCTTGACTACCAACTGATAGCACCGGTGCATCACCGATCTATGAATCTATCTGATGGGACGACGTCATACACATGTATGCATCTTACAATAGAACCCTAGGCGCGTGAAGATTTTTGTCACCACCAAGTCCTATTTAAACAAAAGGGTAAAACCCTATCAACCCACGTGATGTTCAATTCTCTTTGAACAAATCCCTCATGGCCCATTTTCCTTTTTCTTGCAATTAAGCCCACGTTCTTATAACGTGTCTTCAAATTCCTCTTCATCTTTAACGTTGCAACACAATATTCACATGTCTGTAGCAACTCATTAATCTGCATCATTATTATCACCATAACACACTCTTTTCTGTGTCAATTTACTCAGCACTGTATCAAGTTATGTCTTGTTCCAACAATCTTCTAAAGCAGTCAACAATACACTTAATTTAAAAAACCTTCACTGCTTCAGCTTTGTAGATAAATGTAGCTATTTATCTGCTTGAGCCTCAACTTCCTCTTCGACATTAGAATGTTTGACTTATAACTATTTGACCAATTCACTTACTTTACCTTAAAAGTTAAGACATCTACGATGATTTGCATAGAAAACTACTATCTAACTGATGGCTTCCAGTTTCATCTTCGTATAATTAAAATGAGATTGATAACATGACAGTCACATGTACCAATAATATTTTGCACAAAGAACAAACAAATCATAGAAAACAAAGAACATTGCGATTTCAAGAAGATGGAATAAAAAAACTTTGCGAGGTATGGATCTATGGAAGTACATATGTGTGGCTCTGCAAGTGGAGGTTGAGTAGCAGAGATTAATTTTAACAAAATTTAAAATAGA